TTTCATGGATTACAACTGATTACAACTTTCCACGCGAAGCGCGGTTCCACATAGGTTTCCGAATTTGCATGCAAAGCGAGATTTAATTTTAAAAAATAAAATTGACTTTAATCTTACGAGGGGGAGGGATGGGGAAGGTGGGAGGCAAGGAGCAGAAACTGTTCGCCATAGAATCTGTAGTAACTGGAAGGGGAATATGGACATCGAGCTGTGAGCAACATCTAAAGAACAGAAATATATTTCTATTCTGTTCAGTGATAGTAAGTTAAAAAGAGAGCTCACACTTGGCACATGCGCAGAAAGAAGAAAAGTCACTGAGCAGAACAGAAATACCATAGAGCTTATACTACTGGAGGAGGAATACAGACGTCAAGCTGTGAGCAAGATCTAAAGGACAGAAATATCTTTCTATTCTCTTCTGTCCTCTTTTGGCACATGCGAAAGAAGAAAAATTACTGAGCGGGACAGAAATATATACAAAAATACATCTTCTGTCTCAGATCTTGCTCACACTTTCCACTCATTGCTTGGATAGGCCATCGTCCCTCCAGTAGTACAAGCTTTATGAGAAATACATCTTCTGTCTCTCAGATGTTGCTCATACCTTCTATTCATTGCTTGGATAGGTTATTCTGGATAGGTTATTCCATTTACTATAAGTTCTATGTCATTTGTACATATGTACACATAGTTGAGGACATAACAGTTGCATCACTTTTTTCAATGTTGTTCGGAATGCAGCCTGCTCAACGAGCGATTGGTTCTTATAGGGTGCATTCGTTTATGCAGTGGATAACGTATCCTCTATTTTCTTATCTGCTGTTTACATGACCTAAATTTACTGAATGGATCTCTGCATAAATAGCTGCTCGTACCGTATTGAATCGTATCTTCCAATAGAAATGTTGGAAAAGCTAAGCTGATTGAAAATTAAGGCCCAGGGGCCCTATTCTGGAACAAATATTGCATACAGAATTGGCAATTCCGTATACAATCGATCAATCACAATCGAGAAACTGTCATTTTCGTATGCAAAAATTATATATATATATATATTTGCTTAAAAATAGGGCACTAGTTTCACAACTCATGATTAACTCTTAACTGAAGTTCAACTTATTCCTCATCTCTTTCTAACGCTAGAATTGAAAAGAGATGAAAAACAAGTTGAATCTCTGTTAAGAGTTAACTGTGAGTTGTATAATTAGGCCTAAATAAAAAAAATCCGGAAATATTAAATAAATTCCAAAATATAAAATTTATTTATAAAAAGTTCATAATTTTTATGTTTGTTGATATTTTCAATTTATCTAAAAGGTGTGATTTTTAGGTTAAATAGATTTTTAGATATAATCTCATCGCAAATACAAATTAGCAAACTTCACACCTTTTCCATTATACCTTACGTTGCATTTTTTTCACTTTAGTACGATCGATTTTGACAAATTGTTAACCTTTTTCATTTTTTAATATTTTAATAAAATTCATTTTTAGTAATACAATCGGCTATTATAGCTGGCGGTATTATGAACAGCAAGATATCCAACCTGCAAAGGCAACTGCAGCGCAGTTTGTCGTTCATTTACGCAGTACTATGAGCAGAGTATCCTGAGCAGGTGATCGATTCTGTATCTTGAAATGAGGTGAAAATTACAAAAGTGAGCGAATTTAGAATACTGATAGTTTCATTGGTCCGCACCTAGTAAATTTGCTCATTTTTGTAATTTTCACCTCGTTTGAAGATATAGAATCGACCCCTAGGACCTCCGAGATAGCTGCGCAGATGGTATACATCTCTGCGTAAACGAATAACTGCGCTGCAGTCTCCTTCGCAGGTAGTAAAGTCACTAAATTAACAAAGTACCGCGATGAGAAAATTAACTGAATTAGGACCATTTTGACCAAGCTCAGTTAACTTAACCAGCCTAGTAACTGTGATCCCGATTGACCACGGCTCGATTGGACACCATCAATCACAGCGACCGGTGCTTTGTAGTCTCAAGCGCTATGAATGGCTCGTGTCCAATTGGGTGCTACCCGTAACTGTAATGAAATAGAAAGAGATAGAAATAGTTCTATCTCTTTCTATTTCATAGTTACTAGGCTGGTTAAGTAAACCGACGATGGTGAAAATGGCCCTTAGCATTTGAAGCCAAAATGGCGTCGAAGTGCTATCCTAGGATGCATTCCGAGTCACGCATGAAGCGCGTAGACTGCAATATTGATGCGCAACGCTTCGAAACCGTTCCATTTTTTCAATGCGCGCATAACACGCATGAAGCGCTTGTGAATTCGGAACGGTTTCCTATGCGAGCTGTGCGCTGACTGCATTGGTAATGAGCGATTGCGATTCATTGATTAGTTATAAAGGTACAAAACAAATAAATATTTTTTTTAACTTTTAGAGACGGCTTAAGAGTACAAAACATAAATAATAAGGAGCACACAGCCACAATGTAAAATATCTTACATGCCTTGTTTTATATTTG